AATACTTTAGTCATAGTCAAGTACAACTTTGTATTCTATTTCATACTTTAAAATATCAGTTTTAAAGCACCAAATTTAATTCATGACCTATTAATGGCTGTGACTTACAGTTTGAAAAAAAAGGCCAATTTAGAACACTCCAGATGTCTGGCAGTGAAGAAAAGGAAATGGAGTAGATGTGTAGAATTTAGTTAAAGCTAATTCTTTTCCAATTTTGGTTACTAATGCGTTTTATACTTGCTTAAAGGTATTCATGAGAATATGTACTTTGATTTTGGTAGATATTCCTAAAAATCTATTCATTGCAGTTGCAATACTCTCCTATTACAAAATCTCTTTTAAATGAATCATTATAGGAAAGGGCCTGTTTTCCGACTACCTTGATAACACAATATATTTTCAACCATTTTAGTCTTTACTAGTGTAAGCTCAGTATATTTTAAATTTTCATCTCTGCAAAGATTCTCTGCCTGTTGTATGAGTCTAGTGAGACAAACCCTTGCACAATAAGTCAACAAGACAACTTTATTACTTTAGATAGATAAGGACAGTGGAAGCAGTAAGGACAAATAGAAGCCTAGGTATTATGGCAAGCGAGTCCTCCAAGCCTCAGGAAAGCAGCTCAGGGAGGATGGAGTCTCATCTGTATCTACCTTGCATCGTACCACAACCGAGAGGGGCTGAATGCGCTCTTCACTGGGTTGTATACCAAGGGCACAGTTCAGATCACTGAGCTCAGGTATTGTAGAATGTTGTGTTGTAGGTGTGATGAGGACGTAGAGTGTGTGTCCCAGTTTCTTCTTGTCTCAGGATGCTTCATTCTTGGCACATTTTAAAGTTATCCTGAGAACTACAGGTGGGAGATAGGAGAACTGGGTTGGACAAGGCCATCTAGGAACCTGTCGTCCTACAGCCTCCTATTTCAGATATCTCTCTGTGAGTTTAGGTACATTTTTGTGTATTTCAGAAATTTTGGGTTTTGTTTTCTGGTACCTATACATTTACATTCTTCTCTTAAATTGTTAGACCTTTCTTTTTCAGTCATCGGAGTTCTGTATATATCAAGAAAATTAGGTCCTTTCTGAAATGTAGTTTATAAATATCTTCCCTATTTCATGTTTAATTTTTGACTTCAGAATGCAATTTATTTTTGTCAGGAGGAATAATTTTGTCTTATTACATGTTGTGGGAAATGTATCAATGCTTTTATTCATGGCTTTTGAAGTTTGTGTCATACTTAGATAAGCCTTCCCAAAATATTATTGCTATTTTTAATTATTGCACATTTTCTTCTAGCAATTCTTTTTCTCTAACTTTTAAATATTTGACCCCCTTTGCTTCTGGACACTTTGTAAACTGTTATAAGCATTAGTCCCCTGCTTAAAATAATCATAAAGACTAGACAAAATTAGTAAAACTCCTATTTACAGGAATTAGAAAACAACTAATGCAGGGCTGGCGCCTGTGGCTCAAAGGAATAGAGTGCCAGCCCCATATGCCGGAGGTGGCAGGTTCAAACCCAGCCCTGGCCAAAAAAAAAAAAAAAACCCACCAAAAAACCCCTCAACTAATGCAAGACTATGATCTTTGCAATATAGAAAAGAACTCAGGAAGAGACACATACCATCTGCATGTAAGGAGTGTTGATAGGATCAGAAGCTCACCAGTGCCACGTGCTCCAGAACAACTCTGTGTAGTGCTAGGGTACATATGATGATCAGACATATGTATGATGTGATTAAGATGGGATTGTCTACTGAAGAGCACAGAGTGAGAAGAAAACTTTCTCTTCTCTGGAATGTTATGCCAACATTTAAGTATGGTTAGAGGACAACAAAGTAGGAAGGGGGACCTAAGATCTGATAGCCAGGTAGGTAGGAGAAAAAATGTGGGATGGTATCGTAGGAGGAGACTTGGGGAAAATGTTTTTAGAAGGATAAAGTAGTCAAAAATTTCAAATTCTAAGAGGTCAAGCAACGTAAGAATTCAAAACATCAGATTTAGAGAGAGATTCATTGATAAACATACAAAGAGTCCTTTTCGTGGAATAGGAGAGACTGATATCAGGTTGGAATGATTGGAAAACAGAGAGGACGCTGAAGGATCAGTCAAGATGCCTGATTGTGAGAAGTAAGAAAGAAAGTGCAATTCACTGCAGGAAGAATAAGATTAAGCTGTTCTATTGTTTTTATTTAGTTTTGTTTTAAAATCAGAAAGATGGAAGCATATTTAAATGAAGTACCTAATACTAAATGAAAGTAGTTTTTTATATAAAATAAAGGCAGAGTATATGTAATTAAGGGTGCAAGTCCTGGAGGAGATAGAAGGGTGTAAGAGGAATTAACCTTAAAAAGGAGATGTTCAGTTGTGCACACAGATGAGAAAGGAAGGAAAGTTGGGATAGGTGTATGTGCTATATTTAGTAACAGTAACTTTCCCAAATTTCATTGTGGAGCCCATTGTTTTCTGTACAGAAAGTAAAACAGATCATGTCCTGAGAATAAAGGAGGAGACAGTGGAGCTGCAATTTTGAAGACTGGCAGAGTTTGAAAGAGAGTTTGTGGAAAATGAGAAAGGAAAATGACTGGGGAACCCTAGAAGGGTTCTCTACCTAGTTTAATGATTTTCCTCTAGCAGTACCCAGCTCCCTGATGTAGGAGTGGGGGATGTGGATGGTGGGATTCTACCTAGTTTAATGATTTTCCTCTAGCAGTACCCAGCTCCCTGATGTAGGAGTGGGGGATGTGGATGGTGGGATTCTACCTAGTTTAATGATTCAGACTTGAGTTGATTTAGATTCAACGTCTTAGAACCTGAGAACTAGACGAAGACTGGCATAGGAGAACATTAGCCTGGCATTTCTGGCTATCTACTGTAAATAATGATTATGAAATTCAAATCTTTGGAAAAAGGGAGTCATTTTATTCTAATACAGTGTGGAGATATATATACATATATATACATATATGTGTGTGTGTATATATATATATGGAGAGAGAGAGAGAGAGGGAAATTTATATATTTATTTCTCTTCCCAGAATTCTTTCAGGCTATAGTTATCAGACATTACAATTACAGGGTGGATGACCTAGCTCCAAGTCTCAAAGGCAGTTTTTTTAGTGAGTAGCTATGTGCATAAGTACAAGGACAGAGGTCCTCCACCCTGAATTCTGAAGAGTGGATAACCTCTGCAGACACAACTCTGCTTTTGTGTTGGAAGCATCTGTTTCAAAAAAGACTTAGGGCAGGCTGGGCATCATAGCTCAGTGGTTAGAGTGCTAGCCCTGCACACCAGGGGCAGTGGGTTCAAACCTCCACCAGGCCTGCTTAACAAAACAAGAAAAAAGGGTTAGGGCAAGAAAAGTAAAAAGGGGTATAACTAAAAGTGACAAGATCAGTTCTTGAATTTCTGAAAAGCTAGTGCTATGGCTGCATTCTAAACAAAATATATTCTTTCTTGAGATAGTTTGATAGTAAAACAGTGAAGTTGGAGAAATGATTTGTGATCTGAAATAACCAGAAACCTCTAGATGTTGTTGATGGACTTCAGTGCTGACAATTAAAGGGTTTCAGATACCTTATTGGGTATTACCAAAACCCTCTGATTAAATAAGATATGTCTCAGGAACTTGATATTCAGGTTTTTGAATATATATTTCCTAGGTTTGCCATGCTTCTAGATGGCCCAGGGTGGCCTAAACAAGGATTTACATACCTAATGTTTATTTTTATAGCTTCCCTCTGCACACTATGTAAATAGGCAATCCTGTTTAAATGATCAGGATTAATGACCCCCATCAAAAGTATCTTTTCCCTACCCCTGTTTTTTTTTTTTAAGCTGGATATTTTATATACATTTTCTAACTTTGAGGTATTTTTTTCCTTAGCTAGCTCTAATTTTTTACTGCTCTCTTCAGCTCTGTATAATGGAAACAATCACCTGTATAATATCCCACTTACACTTTTTTTCTTCCTTTTATATTTGTGTGTATTTTTATATAGACCTCAAAATAGTCCATGCACAGAGTGTTTCAGAAAATAACCATCTCAGGATTTTGTAAACTCTTCAAATAATTATATCATTTCTGTAAACATTTTTATATACAGGGATACAATTAAAAGAGAGACTTTACCTAACAAATGCAATCATTCTAACTTGGTTCTTTGTACCCTCAATGAAGCCCCAACAATAAAAATAAAAATAAAATTTATGTACAGTAGAACATCAATAGTTGACCACCTTCCTACATTGACCACCTCCTTAAGTTGACCTAATTTTCATAGACTGGACATGCACCACATGTACGTATGAGTACAGTCAGTCTAGTTCCTTATGTCGGCCATCTTCCGATATGTTGACCACTTTGTTACGGCCCTTTGTCTGGTCCACTTACAGAAGTGCTATTGTACTTGTACCAACTAGAAAAAAATTAATTATAAAATATTTGATGTCATCTATTTTTAAAGGATACATTTTGCTACAAACTAAAATGAAAGAAACTTCAAAATCCATTCTTTTTTTTTTTTTTTTTT